TCCCCCACCTTCCTCCTCCGATCCCGACTCCCCCACCTCCCTTCCCAACTGCGTCCTTACCCCAACACCAACCGGGATCCCTTGCCCCCCTGATCTCGACCCATTCCTCCGCCCTTCCCCGATCCCCTCGCGCTTCTCGTGCGATTCCCGGACGCCGACCGTCCGTTCCCTCCCCGATTCCCCCGATTTCCCTCGATCCCCACTTCCCCGACTTCCTCCCTCTCACGCACAACCCAAGCGCGATCCCCCGAGTCCGCTTTCCCCCCCCTGCGCGACTTTTCCCCCATGTTCCCCCCTTATCATCATTATCATCATCATCATCAATCTACCCGTACCCTACCTACCACGTTACCACCCATTCAATCGTAGATAGGATCGTTCTGCCCTCGATTTACATCAAAACTCATTTATTCCTTTATTTATTATTATTATTATTATCAAGGTTACCAGCCCGTACGTACGGTGGCCCCCGGGCAGACCTCCGTACGTTCGGGCGTTCGGGGTCCCGTACGGGGCCCGAACCTGACGGCGTTCGGCCCCCGCCAAAAACTATTTCGGGGCCTCAAACTAATTTTGTTTTTCTGAATGTTTTTTTATGAGTTCTCGATGACGTGAGGTACATGCCTATAAATTTTCAAGTCATTTGGCTTAGCCAAATAAGAATTAAAAATCTCCAAAGATGGCGGTGTCAAAACGTGCTCGCCCACGTTTTTTTTCACTTTTGACTTTTTGTTTTCACTTTAGTTCGGGGTCTAAGCATTTTATTATTTTTTGAAACTTTTTAAGTGGGTTTTGTATTATGTGAAGTACACATCTGTAAATTTTCAGGGCATTTAAAAATCGCCAAAGATGGCGGTGTCGAAAACATGCTCGCACACTCACTAAATTTAATTCTCTTTTTATTTTTATTTATTTTTATTATTAGTATTTGTTATGTGTATTTTATTTGTATTTCAAATTTGGTAAGGAATTCGGACGTAATGCTCAGGCAAATCTTGTTTAATGTATTTTTCTCCATAACATATCTTTTTTTCAGAGTTTTTCGATGAACTTTTTTTTTTTTTTTTTTTTTTTTTTTTTTTTTGGGTCCGCGTTCGGCCCGAACGGCCGAACGCATCCCTAAGGGGTCCCATACGTTCGGGCGTTCGGGTTCGGGCGTTCGGCCGGTCCCGAATGCCGGTTACCCTGATTATTATTATTATTATTATTATTATAGAATTCATTCTAAATTTTTTGAAAAGTCGGAAATACTTAATCAACTATCTATCTCGACATTTCTTTCCCAATTTTTTTTTTTTTTTTTTAATTTTTCGAAAATACGTAGAATTAAGCATTGTTTCTCGGCATCTCTTCTTTGAAATTCGAAAATAATTTTAATTCATTCTTTTTTTTTTCGAAATTTTTGTAATTCGAAATATTCTAGAATTAAATTTCTTTTTCGACATTTCTTTTCCGAAAACATCTCTAATTAATTATTTATTGAAATTTTACAAATTACGTTTTTCTTCCTCGAACTTAAAAAATAATTTTCATTAATTGTTTTTCGGATTTTTTTTTTAAGTAAGTTCTTTTCGTTCGAATTAATGAATTTTTTCTCAACATTGCTTTTCTTTTCTTCTCTTTTCCGAGACTACTTTTAATACTTTTGGAAATACGTTAGAAATTAAAATTAATTTTTGATATTTCCTTTTCGAAATTCGAAAATAATTTTAATTAATTAAATTTCCTCATATATTTTAATTCCTAAAATTCCTTTTTGCAATTTTTCTTGATATTTGAAAAATTCTTTTTTTCGGAACCCGAACTAGATTGTAAATCCGAATAAATTTCGTCAGAATTCTTTTTATTCAAAACCCGAACGTAAATCCGAATAAATTTCGTCATAATTTATTTTTCTCGAAATTAATTATTTCTTTTCATTTGGAAATTCCTGAAAATTTCGTTTTCGTATTTATTGAAAAATACACTCTCGAATTAATTTTGAATAAATTCAAATTAATTTATTCAAAATTAATTCTTCCTCTGCGATTCTCTGCTACCTTCATTGCTAAATCACTTGCTGACGCTCTATTCTTGTAAATAGGAACTGTCCCCCCCATCTCCACATGTCACCTGGCAAAACCAAGACCTCCCAATGCGCCGTCGCTGCCGCCGCTGCCGCTATCACATCCGCTGCTTCCGCCTCCACTTCCGCTCCGGCCATGTCATCCACCCCGTCTTCCCCCACCATGGCCCAATCTTCCATCAACATGTCTGATCTTTGTTCCGACTCCATCAACAGCATTGTCCGCGAACTCGCAGGCGATCAGCAAACTTCGATCACCACCACCCCGGAACTCGCAATTATCCTCCAAACGTTGACCACCCTCAAATCCTCCCTCGCCACCATCAACACCACCATAGTCGCCATCTCCGATCGTGTCACCACGCTCGAGGGAAACTCCCTCGCCATCACGGTCATTACCACGACCACACCCCCCTCCTCCACACCCCAACCCACCCCCTCCATCCAGGTGGTCACCACCAACACCCCCACGTCCACAGCCGCCTCCAACCACACCCCCCCCCCGACCTCCTCCACTCCTACTACCTTTCCCACCACATCCACCACCTCTGCCTCCTCCACCCTTCCCCCCCCCTCATCGGCGCTTTCAGCACACCGCCTCATTCCTCACCTAACCACATCAACCCTCTTCCCCCCCCGCACTCCCATACTATCTCACAACCCATCATGACGACATCCACCATCCCCACCCCCCGTCCCACCTATTCCCAAGTCACCTCCGGGTTTACCCCGCAAGGCCACAACTTCCCCCCAACTACCTCCTTGACGACGACAGCCAATTCGATTACACCTGCTACGACACTACCCCCGATAGCCTCAACTTCAACACCCTCGCCCGGATCGTTTCCCATGAAGAGGAAATCCTCCATTCCTTCCGATCCGCCGACATCATGCCCTTCTCCGACCTTCCCCACGAGGACGTTTTCCTCTTCCTTACCCAGCTCCAGAACTCTTTCAAGCTTGACCACATGCCCCTTATCCACTGGCTTCCCATTGCCACCTCCCGCCTCCTCGGCAATGCCGCCAAATGGTGGATGGCCGAAGTTAGCAACCGTCGCGCCTCCGGACGACCACCTCACTTCTTCCTCCAATGGGCCAACCTTCTCACTGCCACCTTCCGCCCCCAGAAAACCATCGATAACTACCTCGAACAATTTTGTCACCTCCGCCAGACCGGTCCCGCGGACCGCTTTGTCCAATACATCCGCTCCCTCCGCCATCACCTCCCCACCACCGTCTTTCCCGACTTTGCGTTCATCTCTCGCATCAAGCGAGTATGCCACAAAGATCTCGCAACTGCCCTCGCCCAGAAACCTGACATGCCCCTTGCTGACCTCCTTTCTCGCATGCTTCACCACGATCGACGACTCCACCCCCATCACCAGTTCGTGCCCACTCCTTTCCGCCCCTGCTTCTTCCATAACATCACCCCTGACGACACCACTCCACCCACCTCCGACGACAACTTTGACACTGCCTCTCTCGACCCCTCCTAATTCACCATTGAGGACCTCCAAGCTTCCTACCTTATGCGGATGGAATGCCAGGATCGTGCCTCATGACCGCCTTCTTCCTCTCCACCCCGCCGTCTCCAGAAACTTACACCCGCAAAATGCATATACCTCAAGGAACCCAACAGATGTTTTCGCTGCCGCCAGTTAGGTCACCAACAGACCAACTACCCCAACGCTAACCGCTTTACTCGACAGGCCCCTCACTCCGCGGGACCCGGCCCTTCTACTCCCACTTCTTCCTCCACTGCGATAGTCAGGCCCTCCTCCACCTGAACACTGTCCCCCTGTCCCTTACAATCCTCCTCCGGCATCGACCACTTGTCTGCCGGCTCTCCCATCGGTGACGATCTCTCCTCCACCGGTGGCCCACTTGGCATCGACTATTCATCTGCCTACCCCCCCTCCGGTGACGCACATCCCATCGGACGACCCCCAGACGACGCAGTCTACTCCGCCTGCTCCCCTCCCGACGACGTCTGCGATCTCGTCGGTCGAGCTTCCCAGTGGCACCTACTCTTCTACTCTCATCCCTAACCTCTTCTCTACCACCTTCTCCGATCTCGTTGAGGAACAAGCACGACACGATCGACTTGTTAGATTAGGCTTGGAACAACGCCGCCTCAACACCATGATCTCTTCTGCTTGTTCCAGCTCAAGTTTATCGCCGTCTCCCTTGGCGCATCGACGGTGAAGTTTCGGGCCCTCCTTGATATTGGTGCCACTGGCAACTTCATCACCGAAGGCTGTGTTCGCAAAGTCGGCCTCTCTTCCACCGGCTATGACTCCCCGATCACCATCCGACTAGGGATAAGGACTCAACCATCATTGTCGATCGCACTGTCTCTGAGACCCTCATGACTGCCGGTCCTCTTCGCAGTCAGGTCTCCTTCGATGTCATGCACCTCATGTGCGACATCGTCTTGGGGACTCCATGGCTTGACCGTTTCATGCCCTACTCCTTCCACCCCTCCTTCGCCCGACTCACCCGCCCTCCTGACTCTCCTCTTGATATCCCTTACCTTCACCCCCCTTCTACCCCACCCCCTGTCTCCCCTCACCAGTTCCTTCACATATCTCGTGAACACCCCGACTCCGCTTACTATTGTCTTGTTATCGACCACGAGTGTCCCGAGGACTTGCTTCCAACGGACAAACCCGACCAAGACCCCCCTTTCGATCCTCACATCACCACTCTCCTCTCTGAATTCAAGGACGTCTTCCCCGAGTCCTTGCCCGCCGGTTTACCTCCCGATCGAGGTGTATCCCACACCATTGATGTCGAGCCCGACCATTATCCTCCTTGCCGCCCTCCGTACCAACTCTCCGTCCCCGAGGCTGAAAAAATGAAGCGCCAGCTCAATGAACTCGTTGAAAAAGGATTCATTAAGCCTATCACCTCCCCCTTCGGAACCAGTTGTCTCTTCGTCAAGAAGAACGACACCTCGGAACTCTGCATGTGCACAGACTTTTGTGCCTTGAACCGGATCACGATCAAGAACATGTACCCACTCCCGCGGAGATCTGAACTTCTTGATCGCCTCCGTGGAGCCAAATATTTCACCAAGATCGACCTCCGTAGTGGCTTCCACCAGATCCGTAGCCGCGAGGAGGACACCCACAAGACCGCATTCCGCTCTCAGTTTAGGCACTACGAGTTCCTCGTAATGCCTTTCGGACTCACCAATGGCCCCGCCACATTCCAGTCCACCATGAACCACATCTTCTGTGACCTCCTCGAAGTCTGTGTCGTCGTGTACCTTGATGACATCCTCATCTTTAGCCCCACCTTTGAGTCCCACCTTCAGCACATTCGCCAAGTCCTCTCGATCCTCCGAGAGCAAAAATTCTACGCCAAGCTCAACAAATGTACGTTTGCCGCTTTGAGCGTCGAATACCTTGGCCACATTGTCGTTGCTGAAGGCATCCGTATGGACCCTTCGAAGGTCACAACCCTCGTCGAGTACCCTCGGCCCAAGACCCTCCTCCAACTTCGTTCCTTCCTCGGCCTTGCCGACTACTACTACCCGTTCATTCGCAATTTTTTCGAGATCTCTTACCCGCTCCAGGAACTCACACGCAAGGACGAGCCCTTCAATTGGAGCAATCACCACCAACACGCTTTCGACTTCCTCAAGCAAACCATCACCACGGCCCCTGTCCTCAAGATCGCCGACCCCACTCGCCATTTCTATGTCACCACTGATGCCTCCGACTTTGCCATTGGAGCCGTACTGTCCCAACATTGTCCCCGCGACACCGCCGAGACCCCCTCCATCAAGGACTCGCCCACTCACCGTGAGGCTCCACCCGGCGAATACCCTATCACCTTCGCAAGCAAGAAGCTCCTTCCCGTGGGGATGAATTACCCCTCCAACGAGAAGGAACTCCTCGCCGTGATTCACGCACTCACAGTCTGGTGCCCGTACCTCGACGGGCAATACTTCACCATCCGCACTGACAACACCATTGTTTCTTCCATCCTCACCAAGAAAGACATTACCCCACGCCAAGCTCGATGGCTCGACTTCCTTGCCCAATTCACATTCACCATTTGCCACACACTTGGCAAAAGCAACCGTGTCGCCGGCGCCCTCTCTCGCCGCCCCGACGACAAGCCTCCTGAGAAGGTCTACGCCACCATGACTCACATTCAACTCCTCCCATCACTCCATCGCCGTTACACCCAAGGCTACCTCTCTTGCTTAGACTTCCCCTCTATCTACAACAAGCTTCGCAACCTCGACTCGGTCCCTGACTACTCCCTCCACGACAACCTCTTCTACATCGACACCAAAGGCACTCGCCGACTTTGCATCCTTGACACACGTGGTCTTCGTACCCAACTCTTGGGCGAGCACCACGACGCCAAGACCGCAGGTCACCTCAGTTTTCAGAAAACCTTCGACACCATCTCCCGCTACTTCTATTGGCCTTCTCTACTCGCCGATGTCAAAACATACATCGCTCATGTCCCACGTATCAGGCTGTCAATCCCTCGAACCGGGCCAAACCCGGCAAGCTCCAATCATTGCCCATCCGCACTCACTGGTGGCAGTCCATTTCCATGGACTTCGTGTGCGGTCTCCCTAGGACCAACCGCGGGCATGATTGCATCTACGTCATTGCCAGGCACTTGACTAAATGGCCCCACTTCATTCCTTACACCACTTCGCACACCGCCAAAGACATCGCCTTACTCTTCTTCAACCATGTTGCACGCCACCACGGCCTCCCCAAGAATATCATCAACGACCACGATCCCCGTTTCCTCTCACAGTTCTGGAAACAACTCTTCAACGCCTACGGAACTACACTCAAGTATAGCACTGCATTCCACCCACAGACTGATGGACAAACCGAGAAGATGAACGATACTCTCCAAAGAATCGGAAGTACTATCATCCACAACAACACGACTAGGATCAGTTGCTCACCACCGCCGAGATCGCCTACAACAACGTTGTCTGTCCTTCCACTGGCATGTCTCCATTCTACCTTGACCTTGGCTACCATCCGCGCCTGCCCTCTGATTTCCTGCTTCCCTCGCAACTCAACCCCTCCACACCCTGCCCTTCTCTCAATGAATGAGTAGCAACAATGAATCGACTCCTTAGAGAAGCAACCGAAGCCCTTGAAAGAACACGAGAACAACAAGCGAACAAGATTAACAAACACAGACGAAACTTGCAAGTCAAAGTAGGGCCAAAGTCTGGCTCTCCGCCAAACGCTTTGAACCCGAACATGGATTGTCAAAGAAACTCTCAAACAAATTGCTTGGACCCTTTCCCATCATTGGAAAAACCTCCGACGTAAACTACAAACTCCAACTCCCCCCCGACATGAGCTGCGTCCACCAAGTCTTCCACGTTGAATACTTGAAAGAATATCATGAATCCCCACCCCAATTCGCTGACCGCCCATATCCTAGACCTCCACCTGTCATGTTACCCACAGGCCCTGAATTCGTTGTTGAAGGAATCACAGGTTGACGAACTACTCAGGTATCTCACCACCCGGAACCAATCACTGAATACAAAGTCAAATGGACTGGATACCCCGACGAAGAATCTACATGGGAACCTCTCTCGAATCTCAAGAATGCCATGAAACTTGTCCGCGCCTGTGATCGTGCTACTCCTATGTCCTAGACACCCACGTAACTACAACCCTAAACCCATGTATAAACCTTGCTACAACCTCGCAACCCCATTCTACACACACCCTTGAACCCAGTCCACCCTCCCCTCGACCCCGATTCCTGATGTCTGATCTGCCCTCGCCCTCGCCTAGCCTTGTCCCATCTGTCCTCTCCACTACCTTGTCTGCTTTGTCCAAGGCTTGTGAACCGGCGTGATGCCGCGATAAAGGATCTAATGGCTAGTGCACGAGGACGATGGCCTGCTGCCTCAATGTTCATGGAGATTATGCAGCTGGTTTGGCCACCATGCTGTTTCATCGGCCGGCATCCCGACTCGCGGGCTTCGTAGAGAAGCAACTTGTGACATGGATCTTTGCATCAGTCTGCGACCTCCTTGCTTCCAGATCAGACCTCGTTGCAGTTCATGTACCGGATGCACCCTAGCACTTGGACTTTGGACATTTGACCTACTGTTACGCTTCTTGGACTTCTACCTTTCGCAGCCACTGAAGACTGCTTCTACCACCTACTCCAAGACCTGATCAAGACCGCTGCAGATCCCCTTTCAAGACACTTGGACACTTTGTTCCTACATGAGATTCTGCTTCCTACTCCTTCGGACACACCAGCCCTTGCCTCCTGAACAAACATTTTCATTTTTATTTTTTTTCCTGACTTTGACAACGCTGTAGAACATCATTAGCAGATCCCTGTTTCCCTGACGATTGTTCCCCTTACCCACTAGAACATCAATAGAAATTCCCTGTTCCCCTGACCATTGTTTCCCCTACCCACTAGAACATCAATAGAAATTCCTTGTTTTCCCGAACATCATTTCCCCTACCCAGTAGAACATCAATAGAAATCCCTTGTTCCCTGAACATTAATTAGCTTCCCCTATAGACCCACCCGGTCACATCATACCTTCACCTGTGCAGAACACCAGACAGAATACCCTGTGACTTGCATCGCTCCCCTTCTCCTTCTCCGACCAGTGATCGGCCCCGTCCCGTCCTTCACAGCTCTTTTTGTTTCCTTGGCTTTTTGGCAGCTGGGATGTTGCCTTTCAGAGGGAGGGGATAGTGTTACGGACTCCGCCAGGGCTCGATCCCTGGTCTATCTTTTTGCTGTTTCTGCTGCATCACCGGTACTTACACCGGCTCCCCGTACAGTACGGGGACCAGTCTCGTATGAGTTTTCAGCTGCTGTACTCGTACTCAGTGTGACTTGCTGTTTTGGCATTCGGAATCCAAGACTTCGACTTTGTGCCCTTGCCACTCTGTCTGCGTCCGACCCTCAGTCTTGTCAAGTGAGTGAGTGCGTGTGTGTGCTCTGACTCTCTCCCTCTCTCTCTCCTCTTCCTCGGCTCTCCCTCAGCCTCGCACTCGTCAGACAGGGTCTGAGCTCCTCAACCAGCTGGCGCTGCGTAACTGCCTGAATTTCCCAGCTGCGTGCAACCCAGCCAAAAGTAGGCCTCTCATGCCTAGTCAGTGCCGCCTTCACTTAGGGCGACCGTTCTGGCTGAAACAGGGCCCATTGGGGCTTACCGAGGCCTCGAGCCTCACATCTGAAACAGTCAAACTGCGCTCAATGGCATAACACCCAATCTAAAATACTAACATTCCAACAAAAGAAGGATATTCACAATGCAATTCTACAATTATCAAAAGACTGGCTGGGGGGGGATAATGGATGGGGGTTGGGTCATGTGTCATTGCCAGGGGGAAAGGGTACTGTTGCCCCCTTCAAAAGAGATTTTCAACTCGTTTTCCACGAATGGATGACAATTCAACAAGGCAATCATTTGAGGTCCCCAGATGACTTCTCAGATTTCTTTCCGCCTTCAGCGATGGCAATAGTAGACAATCAATGGTTTGGTCATGCAGCCTAAGTCAGAAAACAACAAGGATTGGTATAGTAACTGTTCTCAGAGCATAGGCAAGCTAGAAATGCATGGATATATCTGGTGGTCCTCAGCGGACTGAAGAGGCAGGTCTCAGCTCACTTTTCACATGATCGTATTCTTCAACAAGTCATTATTCTCATTGCATGTGGGACGCTGGACCCGCTTTCCAGCAGGTGCTGCTCCCCGCCAATAGATTGGAGTGCAATCAGACTCGCTTTCTTTCACACCTCACATGCATGTCAACAGGTAGCGCAGCAAACTGGCGACAAGCACCCACTCAGAACTTAGAGATATGGTAACCAAGAACACAGTTCAGATACAAGCTCACTTCAGATGGCTATGACGCATCAGCGCCTGTCCAACTGTAGCATATCAGAAAGTGACATGCACTAACAGCCTAGGATCTAGCAATGATGAAAGTGGCAACAACCAGCAGCATAGATGCAACATTCACCAGATGCCAATGTGCACAATGCAACAAGTAAACCAACGAGAAAAACAACAACAACACATTTGCATCATCATCATCATGGGCTGGGGAACAGCGCAGCGGAATAATAGTAACCAAGAGGACACGTGGACAACAACAGGAAAGGGAGAAACTTCGGAAGGGCAGGACAGTAGAAAGATTGCCCTTCCGCGCACGCACATAGGGACAGATCCATAGACATGCGAGAGAGAAGGGGGGGAGGGACATAGGAGGTAACCAAGTCCAACCCACATCTGATCTCCGAATGTCGTGCACAGTTCAA